TGGAAGGGGACTGGAGTTCATTATCAGTGGCGTGCCTTAACGATCACATGCTGAACCAAGTTAAGCTTTGCGAATCTTTCAGCGCTAAAATGTACTTAGGCAGGTGAAAACCTCCTTATGTGTGTACAGTAACATTCTCCCTAACTCTGGCCACACTGTGGTTGCAAATTTGTTGCCTTTGGCCAATGTTACAGACAATCTTTCTCCTCTCATTTAACCACAAATGTAAAACCATCCTCAAACAAACATCCAACAGCAAAGCCTCTTTTTGAAGGAATGTCTACATGATCACACATTATTCTTGAAAAATGAAACAAAGTTCAGCACTCAAGGCTAGCTGAATATCTCAGGATGACCACCACACAACCTATAGAGAACCTGATCTTCTTTCATAGTTCTGATGGGAAATGGACACAGGTACTCAACCGAAGTATGAATAGTTCTGGATTTGGAAAAGTAACCACACTGTGCATTATCGGAATGACTGCTAGAAAAAAAACCTTCTGTGTACTTCATTGTACCTGACTGATCTCGGTTGGTCAATAAAATCAGTTTTTTAATCAGAACTTTGAGGTTCTGCAGATTTATTATCAGACATTTAGAAGTTTGTATGGTAGATGTTTTGTATGGTTATGGACTTCTAATATGAAGAAATTTAAATGTTTTCATGATTTTTTAAATTCACGTTTACAAAAGCATTCATAGTTCACGTTCATTAAAGCACTGTTTAAGTAAAACTACTGGAGCCTGTTTGATTTTTGACCATTAAAAAAAATAATACAATGTTATCATATCTGTGACAAAACGTTCATATTGATGAGGCCCTAATGAATGTGCATTTTACATGGGCTGCTCCAGCTAAATGGAAGAGCTTCTACTAAATTAAATCAATAGAAATGTCCATTCCAGATTTGCCCCCCCACCAATCAAGAAAAATCCTAATGTTCAGACTCTGACCTCTGACCTTTTCCTGCCAAAAAGCTCCCCTCCTTATCCACATGCTATGCAGACAGAGGGTGGAATGCACTACTCCTCCACATAGCAATTTCCCTCCATAGCTATAACTAGTGGACATGAAGCTGTACTCAGAATCTGAGAGGATTTCCCCTAATGACTCAGTACTTCCTCCTCAAATGGTAAATATTTGACATCATTGGCTGTTGAACTACAAAAATCTATCGAACATCTAGCTGTACAAGCAAGATTTTTGCAATACAGCCAAAGCTGTTCAGAACAAATTATGAACTGTCCTGGAGAGGCCCCGGTGTAACAAAGTGCAGTCCACTCCATGCACAAAAAACATAAATTTCTACAACAACCATGCAGCTGACAAGGCCGCTCACACAAGTGTGTGAACCCTGCCCTCAGGTGGTCTTCTCTGGTGGTCTATGCACACTGCCTAACTTTATTAGCATGAGTCAAGGAGCATCACACAGTTCAGACAGATGTATATGCCTGTATGGAGCCAAACCATTACACAGTGTCTGGGGCAAGGATAGAGCTTTAGGAAGGCACAAAGTGTGTGTGTGAGTGAGAGAGAGAGTTAGAGAGAGAGTTAGAGAGAGAGAGAGAGAGAGTTAGAGAGAGAGAGAGAGAGAGAGAGAGAGAGAGAGAGAGAGAGAGAGAGATGTAAGATTCAATTCTGTTTTCTATCAAGAAAAAGGGCACAGAGTCTTCAAACAGCTGGCTGAGGGGACAGTTTTGATGGAGGTTTGGAAAACAGAATTTTCCAACCCTCCATACTTTTTGAAAATTCCCAACAACCACAAACAGAACCAAGTCCAAAAAGCCCCTGATTCATAGCCACCTCTAAAACTTCTCTGTTCACAAGCAAGCAGGTGCACATTCAAAAAGAAAGATTAAGACTAAAAGAAAGACCCAAGGTCACCAAAATGTTTGTACTCAATTCATAGAGTGATCAGAAATATGATAATATGGAAGTGATCCAGTGGAATTTGTTGGTTCTGCAGTTTTGCCGCTGTGCTGTCTGGAAACCATGTTGCAATGTTGCATCATGTGTAAAAATGTAAAAAAAATAAGAGACCAGCATTCTATGAAGAATGTGGAAACAACACGGTACCTTCTTAAAACCCATTCTACATCCTCAAAACTAATGCCCAAAATGGCAAGGTTCTACAAAAAAGGCTTTTATAGGTACAGAACTTTTAGATCATGCTGAGGCACTAAACTTTAAGAAGGTTTTTCAGAGACACAAAAATTTACATTCACACATTTGACACAAAGAATTCAGCAAATAAAAAGTTCTTTAGTGTCAAAAAAGTGATTTTCTATGGCACTGTTCCAAATAACCCTTTTGGCTCATTTAAGCTGCTTGTGTCCATTTCTGTTCATCCTCCTCCACAATGACGTCTCAACAGTGAAAAGTTCAGATGAAGTCATCTCAGGGAGAAAGGCTGCTGTTCTTGCTGTGACTTCATGACTCATGAGTGCAAGCACTGTGGGGCGGGGGTCAGTTTAAGGGTCTGGAATATGTGAGTAGGGTGAGGGGTTTAAACACCATGCAGAATTACATTAGCAGAGGGCTGCACAAGGTGAAATTTACCTCATCCTTGACCAGTACACACACAGTAGCAGGCACCCACTCAGCCCCCCCCCAAAGAATTAATCACTATAATTCAGCCATTCCCAAATCCAAAAACACAGCAACTTCAACAGTTTAGAAAAGAAAGGCAGAAGGAGCTGAGAGAGAGAGAGATTCTGATCCAGCATAGAGAGACAGTGGAAACTGGAGCCACCAGCAAGTGACTAAAGCAAAGCCCCTGTAAAGCTGTGCTTGGCCAAACACACAGCTGCAAATAGCTAGGCAGAGATGGCTGATTGTGTCTAACTCCAGTCTGAGTGGGCGCTGGTTAATGATTACAATCACAGCAGAAAGCATCCTGGCCTGGCATGCTGCATATATTTCAGTGTGGGAAGAGAACATGTTAAAAGCACCTAACCCATTATTCAAAAAGCCATGAATCTGCAACATTTTTCCCCCTTTTAGAAAAACCCAGAATTAGTCAATCTTACAAGTTTCCAAAATGATTCTGGCTTGGACGTACAATTCTACCTTTAAAAATCCTTTATTTATAGTTAACCTTTACATTATGAGAAGGTTCTTCAAACCTGAAAAAACTATTTTCACTGAAAAACCTCTACATAACGTCAAAGTTCTTGAAAGAATCCTTAAATTGATAGACATATAAATTATTATTACATATACATGTCTGTAATGTCCTGAAGGACCATGATGATGACGTTACATTAGCTGTCATATTGCCTACCTCTAACTGAAAGGTTCTTCTGAAAAACCAGAGTTGTTCTGTTATGGCACCGCTCCAAAAAACTTTCTTTGGCACCTTTATTTTCAAGAGTAGAGAACTACAGAAGACAAAATGATCCTAGTTCAGCTATCTAGAGATACAGTAGACACTTTGGTTACACACTTCAGAAGTTAGAGCCTGTACATTTACACTGTGCATGACAAATCCCATTAGTGAATACAACAGCTTAAATAGGGTACGACATGTTAATGTAGCTAAAACCTTGATCTGAGTGTACTTAATATAACAACATGAGCAGCACTGCTACTGAGACATCTGTACTGGAATCATCTTTAGGACAGGGCAGTGACTGAGCTGTGTGATACAAATAAAATGCAAAGCACTTCCAAAATCAGACTATGCACATAAGTGATCTATGTGATTCATTATTTATACACAAGCACCAATTAAGAGTTCTAATCTATTCATGCTTTCATTAAAAAAATATATATATGAACTATCCATTATCCTACAGCTGCCATCTATGTGGGGACATGGCAGACCGTCCCCCTCAACGACTGCCTCATTTAGTGACAATAAGTGGCTAAAGCACCTGCAATCAGGGACAATTACAACAGCAATCTTCATTACCTCCTAGGGAATGCAATCCCGACAAACTTCTCTGCCCTGTCATTGATGTTACCCATTCCCCTATTCACGTCCTAAATATGGCTTGAATAAAACACTGACCTCATTTGATGCACATGATTTTATAGAGGGATAAAAAGGAAAGCTTTCTGAAGCAAACTCAGCAAGGTGACAAGGCTACTTGGGACCATATACACACACACACCCACACACTCCAACGTTTCAGGTCACCCTGGACAAACACTAAACCTCACTTTTAAAAGTGTGTCCCTCCCCAGCTGTGGAGACAGGCTTTGATCTATATGGCACTTCACATATTGGGCAGGGATTCAAAACAACAGTTGGAGACACCTCTGTGGTTTCCCAAGTCCTTAAATATCCCCTGCTGGGGTCGGAGTGACCAAGTCAGTTTTAAAATGGTTTAAACATCATACTATTGTTATAGAGATTAAGGCAGAATTTGTTGTAGATTGGAATTCAAACATAAAAATAACCAGTAAATAGATATGTATGTACTTCTTTTATATTAGTTACTAGTTAATAAAGTCAATCTCACATCACAGCAGTTCAACACCAAATATCACAGCTGATCCATTGTGCAGCAATTCAAGGAGTAAAGTGAATGAAGGAGTGACCAAATGAATGAATGAATTAAACCTCAATGCTCAAACAAATTTTGACCCTTGGACCAATAACATTACAGTCTACTGTTTAATTTTACACAGGCCTCTATTTTTAAAATAAACTTGGATTTGGCTGGTGGTTATGTATCATACGTTTCTTACAGTTGCAATGAACTTATTTCAAGACTCTTTTGGTAGTCAGTTCATCTCTGAAACAGTCAAATATTAATAACATCTGTTCGCACTTCGGATCCCAGAGTTTATCAAATATTCGATTTGCAACGGTGAGAATGGAATTTAACAACTAGGCTTTTCATGTGGTCTCTACAGAAAACATGTCCATCGATCTACCAAGTCAAGCACAGATGTAACTGAAGTCCCATTTGATGTGAGCATTTTTTCCGGACGTGCATGCTAATGACTTAATGCTAGCAACCAAATTTATATACCCACACACACTTACCCAGGAGTGCTGGTCATATAAAAGTCCACAGAGTAACCAAAATAGCTGCTTTCAGGTCCGCTGTATATCGATGGGTTATCGACGTCTAAGTTGAATGCAACACACAAAGGTAAAAGAAGAGCGAATGAAAGTGTAATTCGCCCAGGCAGTGAGTAAACCGTGTGGAGTAAAGTTGCCTCAGTCTTTGAGCGGTGTCGTTTGGAACCCATGATATTGGCTCTAGAAGTCCTCTTATTCAATGAAGCCTGCCGGTCGCTTTGAACAAAGGCGCTGTGGTAAACGGCGTCCTCGTGGTAAAGGTAAAGTTCTTTCGCCTCAGTACGTATAATGCCTTGTAAGCACTCTAACTAAACGGTCCTTACTTTACTTACTTACTTACTTACTTACTTACTTACTCACTCTCTCTCTCTCTCTCTCTCACTTTACTCTTTCTCTGTCTCGCTCACTCAGCCTCTCTCTCTCTCCTTCCTCTCTCTCTCTCTTAATTGAAGCAGTACTGCTCAGAGGAGTTCCCAGACTCGTGACTAAACTGCAGCAGAGGTGGAGCTAAGAGAGCAGTCCATGAGGCAGAGAGGTTGTAACGAGACTAAAGTTACATACTTATTTGGTTTGTTCATTAGTAGCTTTTCATTCGCTTAGCGATAGAAACCCTACATGGGTTCCGTTTCCGCGCACTTAAAGGGCCCATATTATGGACTTCTCCTCACGATATGAAAGAGTTTGATGTACAATGGAAATATCGTTAGATTGGAAACACTGTTTACGTCCTGTCCGCTCCCCAGTCCATATATAACGTTTAAACTTAGCTGCAAAAAACAGCCTTTTTCGAATTCATTGTTTTTGTGATGTCAGGAATATACTTACATATATCTGCGTGCGTGCGTCTGTGTGTGTGTGTTTAGGTGTCTATACAACCTACAGCAGTTTAGCCCGCCCATTCATGCTTAAGTTATGAGGGGTGTTTCAGCCCGGGTTGCTTTTCGGATATAGGAAAATGAAGTGCAGCCAATCACAACAGAGTTAATTTGTATATCTCAGTCTTAAAGGCACAGTGAACACAAAAGACCTGCCTTGCCTGACAGATCTCGGGCATTTGGCTTACCAATGCACTTGGCATTAGTGCATTTGGACAGTGTGCACTAAAGCATGAAAAGACAAATTCTGGATACCTTTTTTAAGGGTTTCATCTTGTCAAACCACACAAATGTCAATATTCTATGATAAATGTTTTTTGTGCATGCAGTGTAGGGAAATGCATGCTGTTGACATTCTGACAAGTTGTAATACCAACCTGTATTTAACGGTTTTATTTATTTATTTATTTTTTTTTATTTATTTATTTTTTTGCCATTCAAATGAGACTGTCATCATCTTAACTTTGTCTCAACAACAGTGATCTCCTAAAAGCGTATCTTCAGTATGGAAAAAGAAATTTAAGTCTGTCCAGTGTTTAAACTGCCTAATTTAACCTGTTAAATAGTTGAAATTTTAGTTTATGTCATTAAAATATACCTTTTCCACAGCTCCAAAGTTCAGTCGTTTTTTACAATCCATTTAATCCTAAACACATTCAATGATGTTGAAGTCTGGTCTCTGTAGATCCTAGTCCATTGTTCTGAGAACATGAGCAGCTTGTTTGTTTGATTTGCAAATTTCCTTTTCTTAGTAATTTCTTCTTGACAGCTACACATTCTTTCAGACCCAATGCACAAAGATGTCTTTGCACAGTGAAAGGATGGACAGAAACACCTGTGGTGTTTCTCTGAAGCAAGAGTGGAGCTTAATTTTCTCTCACACATAAAAACATGTAAGTGCTATTCATCTGATGACAGTTTTGGTGATCAAAAAGGTCTTGCACAGTTGTTAGGACTGCCATTTTCTCTATGTAATTATCTCTTTAAGAATTTTTTAAACTCCATTTTCGGGGACTCAGTTTTTCCCTTTAATTTCCCCCTTCTCATGCAAGTGAATTATCTTATATATAATATCTTCCAAAATATCGAAAGGATTGTCTCTGACTTTTGCACAGTACTGTATATGCTGTATGAATCACAATATATCATGGCAATTGGACTGTTAAGTGTCTTGACCCTCAACAGGCTATTCGGAAAACTGGCTTCTTATTTGTTTTCTTGAGGCAAAATGTGCAGTTGCACAGTAAGTGTTCTGAGGGGGGAAATCATTGTGTATAGCAGTAATATTCTTACTAATAGATTAATATATGATCTCTCATGAAAAAAGGTCATTTCAATCACTAAAATAAGTTAAAATTGTTCATTATCTATTAGAAATTTAGCTGCTGGTAGTGAAATATCCAAATCCATGTTTTGACCAAGTTTGCAAGTCAAACCATGCAAAGTGTTTTGTCCAGGAAAAAACCCTGGCAACCTACTGCCTTTGGAAAATGTGCACAGAGGTATGTGCATTAAAACCTGAAGTTCTGAATAACTTTACAAGAGTTGATGTTGCCAAGTAAGTAAGTAAGTAGGTAAGTAAAGTTTATTTATATAGCGCTTTTTACAACAGGTGTTGTCACAAAGCAGCTTTACAAGGAAATCAGCATAACAGAAAGAAATCCGGGTCCAAGCCCCCATGAGCAAGCCAGTGGCGACAGTGGCAAGGAAAAACTCCCTAGGAACAGGAAGAAACCTTGAGAGGAACCAAGACTCAGAGGGGGAACCCATCCTCCTCTGGTCGACACCGGATAGTAAACATTGTTAGTACAAAAACAGGGAAAACAGGTGGAGCAATAATTAATTTGATTAGTTTAGTTCATGCAGCAGCAAGCCAAGCCACTCAAATGTCAAATTTTTAAAATGAAGCCAAAAGGCAGCCTAGATTTGGGTGGGCCTGTGGCCGTTTGGTGTTTGAGAAATACTTTGCAATATAGTAAAAGGGTTTATTTTATCCCATTATCTGAATTACATCTGTACCTTAAAGGGTTATATCAACTTATATGCTTTTCTCACTGATCATGATTTCCATTACAAATAAACCTAGTTGAAGCTTATCTCTAAATTATTTATTCTATCAAAACACTTTGGCAAAAGATGTACATGACAAACGCACATAAATGTTAGCATATTAGAAGTGAATAACTTGAAGGGTTTCTTTTATCTCATCTGTAATACGATCTTCTGTCTCAAGAATACCGAAAGTGCTTAACATTGCTTTTTTGGACATGCCCTTTGAACCAAAAGCAATGAAAAAGTAGAAAGCGTACGGTGAAAATTTAAAGTGACAAATATAAAGACAAACTAATTGGAATCTGCAAATGAGTCATGTTGTAGTTGGAATGGACTGCTCTCTGCTTTGGTTCGCTGAGGTTTTATAGTGTATTAACAGTAAAGACATAATTTTAATAAAGTGTGAACTCAGGAATTGTGTTTGGACAGTCACAAATTAAATGTAGGCTGTGTTGAATATGAGAGTTATTAGCATTCCACAACCCCACTTCACAATGTTTATCTTGCTTCTCAAAAGAATTCTCTAACATAGCCTAGTTGTACAGGATAGCTAAATAAATGATTAACCTTCAAGTCAATTAATTAAATGTTCTCTGAGGTTCTTATCTTCCAAGAACTATCTCTAGGCCAGTTACCTCCATTGTCTTCTTTATCCTGAAGTAAACCAAGGTTCAGTTCAGATTACACATGAAAGGTATGGGACCTCTGTGATGTGAGATGCAAGGTTTACTTTATCTTTTACACCACTTTGGCACAAATAGCTAGGTTCACCAACAGTCCACTAATTTAAGGAAGTGTGTAAAATAGTAGCCTACATGTAAATTGACATCCTGCTTTTATAGTTTTATCCAATTGCCAACAAATTATTATTAAATATTCTTTACGTTTTTATGTTGTTTCTGTTCAGAAATGGATGGAACTAAGAGGAAAAAACAGAGAACTAGCTTAGGTGAGTAGCTAGCTTAAGGCTCAGGCTGCCACTGACTCATTGCCATGGCAACACAAGCCAATGTTTGTGTAAGGAAAAGGAAAAAAGTATAAAACATGCTGCTGTCCAGTAAGCTGGATTCCTAACAGAAATGAATGTGTATGGCTCAATATCTAAAAATGTAAATCTCACTCTCTGTATAGGTATCATTCTACCAAATTGGTTCAAAGCCAGAGCTGAAAACACATTGTGGTCTTTTAATTCACTTGGACTTTAGACTACAGTCCTTTTGCTTTGAATGACCAAATTCTTTAATTATGATTGTTTATCCAAATAAATGATTGAACCTTCCATTTTGTCACTACCAATACAGTAATAACATTTCCAAAACATTACTAAATATTTTGGTACTGACTGTTTTGGTAGTGACAATTATAGCTATTTTTGAGTGTATGTCAAAAATACTAGCCTGTACATGACTAGCAAACACAGCTTTACAGTTGTATACACATAAAATCATAATATTTTTCATTAACACACAAAAAGTTTACTTAATTTACATGAGATGTAATTGCAGAAAATGTGTGTTTTGGTGGTGACATTTTTAAGGTTACCCACTGATTTTCAGAATTTGGAACACATTTACTTCAAAACAATGGGATATAACTGCTCATCATGTGAACAGGAGGGACAGGGATGCTTCCTGCTCTAAATTGCAGGGGCGTGGGTAAAATAAGACTCCACCCACAGACTAAAACTCTTTGTGTTCGGTAGTGACATGTAAATGTGGGACAGCATTTTTTAAATAAAGTTTTTTTTTTATTTAAACATTAAACTCATGATAAATCCACATCTTTAAACTTAATTTTAAAGAAAATCAAAAAGATCTTTGAAAAATAACATAAATAAAAATACATATTTACATATTTAAATAAATATTTTCACAAGTTGAAATTTAGGGTTTGGGACAGCCACTTCACAATTTTTGCAGTTTATACTAATTGAGTAGAATGGTTCATAAATTGTCCAGGACACACAGTCTACTATATATACAGTACTTTGCAAGTCAGAACCACCCTTCATTTATTTAATTTGTAGTCAAACAGTCATTAACTACAAAGTATTCATTTTTCCATTTAAGGAAAAAAAACAAGAAACCTATATTTAACAAACACAGAAGCCAGAATTTTTCATTACTTCATTTGTCTGCCCTTTGCCTTTATTTTAGCTTTTATTCTTTTCAGGAGACTAGCTTTTAGGTTTTCAAAGAAATTTCCACACCTCCAAAGTTCAGTCTTACAATTTGGTTGCATTTTTTTTGCTTCTCATCAAAGAGTCCCAATCACATTGATTGATACTAAAGTCTGGGTTCTGGGTTGGTCAGTCCATTGTTCTGAAAACATTAAAAGCTTTTTTGTTTGTGTATTTCCTTTTCTCAGAAATGGCCTCTTGACAGCTATATATCCTTTCAGACCCACAGCACTGAATTTTCTTCTCATGGTGGAAGGATGGATAGAAACACCTGTGGATTTTTTAGACCTGAAGTAAGGGTGGAGCTTGATTTTCTCCTTCCTCTCAAAGAAAAAAGCTTAAAGTACTGCTTATTTTATGGTGACAGTTTTGGTGGTTTTGCACAGATGTTGGGA